TACCACTATCTGACCCCTTTCGTGGACATGCTGCTATATGATGCACGTGGTTCAGAGAAGAGCAGGGCTTACTTCCATCCTTGCAGACTTCAATGGTGTACCCATCTAGACCTGAAGCCCCAATGTTCTCTGGCTGGCTCCAAATGATAGTGACCGAAGTATCGTTCTTATCCTCAACAAAGAGATCCACAGGAGCGCTTGTGGGCTCTGCAGATGCCACATAAAATACAATTATTACATGAATGAATTTTAAAGACAAAGCTTATAGTATGTTGGAATACATTTTCCTATTTTAATGTTGTAATAAGCACAAAGCAAATGACAAAAAACAATGAAATAGGTTTTTAAATAAAGTTTTCACTTTCAAGAAAAGGTTACCTTTGGGTGGTGGGGGCGTAGGTGGTTTAGGCTCTTCTGGTGCAGGTGCCTCAGCAGCTTCAGCTGATGTTAAACAGGCATTTGTATTATTGTTGGCAGCATATAATGAGCAGAGCGACAGCATCAAATATAATCCAGCTATGCATCTCACAGCTCTCTGTCCCCTTTGCTGGGAATTCAAAGGATTAACAATGCTATCACATGGAGAATTTCCATCCAGTTAGTCTCAAATGACAAAATCATCTCAGTTGTTAAGGAGAGAGAGGAGTGAAGAGGAACATGTTTTCTATTTTTGCAGGTTGGATTAACACCAGCAGAGACTGCTGCTGGTGCAGCCTCCTGTATCGCTGCACTCAAAGTAGTTATTATTAAGTGTTATATATTATCAACTAATGCATTGAGGAAGGTGGAACATGTTTTGAGACTAAGCACTGCAGAAAGTTTTATCAACAAGTCACTTAGAGTAGTTGCTAAAGCACTAATGAACAAGTGAAGTCCTTTAATTTACCATCATCAGTGGAGGCAGCTGGCAATTCCTCAAAAGCAGGAGTGTCAGCTGATATTAAGGGTTAGTGCACTCATTTTTATGGTAGAAGACATCACTGAGTGTGCATTTCCAGCATGGAGTTAAACGATTCAAATAAAAAATGAACACATACTCCTCTGTGTGACTGTGAGTCAAGTCAAACATGCACTGTCAACATACATTCCCACAACAAACGTTTCATAATGCACTGTGACTTTTAGGATTATCTGCTTGTAAAACATGCAACATGCAAGTTAGCGTCATTATGTTTCTGCAGAAGGGCAAAAGTAAGCATTTGAACAGTTCACACTGACCCCTCAGAAGTGCACGTGTCTAAAAAGTTACCATTGGATCAATTAAAGAGTTACCGACTTATCAAAAGTTCAGCCATCGAGAAAAATGGGCCGTTTGAGACACTGCTGTGCACGGGTAATTACCAGGTGGCGCAGCCTCTCCCTCGGCAGCAGGGGCCTCTCCCTCGGTTGGGGCAGGCGCAGCTTCAGCCGGGGGGGCCTCCACGGGAGCGGGCTCCGGGGCGGGTTCAGGAGCCGGCTCTGGAGCCTTTGCCTCCTCTTTCTTGGCTGGTTCTTTCTTAGCCGCCTTCTTGATTGGGGCAGGCTTGGACGGCATGTTGGAGGTGGCAGCTAATTCCCAACTCGTTTAAGTCCTTCGAACTGTATCCAGTGCCATCATTCCTGCGGGGGTGGCAGGCTTATATATGGCTCGGCACTTTCAGACGCCGCCCCCTAATAATGTATTACATGTAATGGATACCGACACCATGTATGACTCAGACCCCACTCAATTTGTCCCAGTCTGTACACTCACTGTACATACTGTATATTATTAACTGCTTTACTAATTTAAAAAAAAGCCTTTTTAAATCAATTTGATATGATGATGAACTCTATTACTTAATGGTTACTGCAATTCCTAGTAACAGGTCACTCATGTCAACTTGAACAAGAAGCAACAGAATAAATATAACATGTATTTTATTAATTTCAACAAACAGTGATAAGTGGATGAAAGCCTTCAGAAGCATGCCTTATCCATGTATTGGACCCAACTTTGAAGAAATATATCTTTCTCTCACAGATTTAGTTTTTCCTCCTCAGTGATTGTTGCCGCATCCAGAATGCTGACATATTTACAGACTTTACAATGATGCTCTGTACAAAATAGAGAAATTAACTTTTACAAAGGATTCTTTAGAAAAAAAAAAGAAATATCAAATATCTGAGTATTAAAAAAGAAAACATTATCATCTATTATCAATGATTTTCCTAAACAATGCATTAATGTTAACATTTTTTCATCACACAGCAAGTTTACATGCATTTACAACACTTAGAAACCCTTGACATTTGCACATTAGTGACACTGCATACAGCGTAACATTGTTTTCTTAATCTTAGTCCACAACAAGCTTTGCGAAAATATGACTATTCAGCAACATGTATTGGCCTAAGATGTCAGATTGTTTTTTTTTTTACTTGTTTTAATGCAGACTAACTGCGAACTATTTCCACCTCATCTTTTGATTTTTTAACCTTCCTTGAGGGGACTGTTGTGATTTGATAAACTGGAACTGAATTGCTTTTTATTTCGTTTTTTATTGTCATTTGACGATTTACAAGTCCAGCTGCATTACTTTAGTTGCCATTCATAAGGACAAAACACATCGGCTAAACTTATGAACCCTGTCTTCAATGTATCACCAAACAAATCCTCTTCTCTTTAAGGCTCTATCTCCAGCTGACACTTATCATGTGGTGCAGTTTGGTCCGAATTAAGAACTCAAAGCCCGACCATATGAAAACACAGCGTTTGTTTGTGAATTTCATCATTGCTGATTGCCAACACCAGTAGAAGTTGCTGCATAGTCCCAGTACACCAGTAAGCAAACACAAATCACAGCTACCACAGAACAACAGGCACAATAACCAGTGAATGAGAAGCTGGAGTTGATGGCTTTAGTTAACCTGCAAAACAGATCAGAGAGGGGCTTGTAACACAGTCTGATACCTCACATATTTACAGTAATCAAAGTCAGCATGATGTCAGGGTAAGAGTCCCAGACAATTGACATTGTTTTTGCTCTTTGATGTCTTTTCTTCATTCATTTTTTAGTTTGCTTGTGACCAGTAAGAGCTGCAGATTAGCTTGAAAATTTAAAACCAGCCTTATACAAACAGTGCAATAAAGCAAATAAGCATGAAGCATCTCAGACATAAGTTTTTAGACTTTCTTATTGAGCTGTCTTTAAGTGGTCCAACATTCATTTACAGGTTTTACTTCAGGTGAAGTTTAGTCTGAGCACCAAAATGTTGGGGATAAAGAATTATTTCAACACCACTTGCACAACAATCTGTCATTTACTCCATAGGGGGCGTGTTTACACACATCTACACCAAATTCTTCATAAAGCATTTTAAATCTTTTTAACTCTTGCCTTGGAATAAGCATTCTCTACTACTTGATTCTGCATCATGTGCCCAAAATCCTCTCAAACATAAATACTGCAGGACATCAACTCGGGTATATACCGTATAAGATCTCACATGACTTCAGCCACTACAGAATGTCTTTAATAACATCTCCTATGAACTGTCACACATTTTCTTCCAAATATATTTCATATTTCTTTTGCGGTTGACAGAAATTACAGACAACTTTTTGCTAACCTACCCAGAACATCTACACAGCTTTTATCCAACACTAAAACAGTTTGGGACATTTTTAAGGAGCACCATGAGTACCGTACCTAAATGAAATTAAACATGAGTGGGGAGAAAATGTTCTTTTTGTTTGTGAAGCGTGTAAAAAATGAAACGGAAACAGGCAGCTCTAAAGCCACCCTGCTCAGACATTAATAAAAGTGTTTAGCAGTAGAACTTTGATAAGGCTTACTTTAAAAGCACCTCCTACATGACTGTTATACGGCTGCTGTATAGGTATTTTCTATACATTCATAGTTGAACTTAAAACCCTAACTTGACAGTCAATATGCATGATTAAAGTACAGTATTTGGTTCAGTATATTCGATATTTGCACCAACTAATGTAGATAAAGTAACTGCAATGCAATCTGACTGTATTTACAGAATATACACAGTAACTAGTCTGAATGTTTGGGGAAAGACTTGAAAGAGATGTGCCTTTTCCTACATAAATGTTCTAGAGAAACAATCTTGAATTGGATTTAAATAACATTTACTCGTTATGTCTTCATTAGAGGTTGTTTGTTAAGTTATATCATCCCTGTGTAGTAAGTATCTAATACCTGATACATATGGCGACATTGGTGGCACTACTTAAGTAGCGACTAAAACAAAATTAAGTGTGCAGCGACAAAGTGATGAACTTACATCACTGATAAATAAGTTCTGTTTTATGCAAAAGAGTATGACAGCAGATTTAACTCATAAACTATGAAGAAGATGGGAAAAAGTAAAAATATATTTTGAAAATTCTGCTTGGAGTGTTCAGACTTTTTTTTTTTGCTGTGAAACGTAACCATGATGAACTGTAATATATAATATAGAAAGCTGAAGAAACAGCTTAGGATGTGGCTGTCTTAGGATGTTATTGATAAAAGCACCAGTATATTCTGCTTAAGTTGAGGTGACATTGATGTCTTTGTCTTAAGGCATATCATAAGTTTCACCTGCTCGGGCTGTAGAGTTCAGGATTGCATATATGTAAGATTTGGCCTTCAAAGACTGATACAGTAGATATGTGCCAAAGAACCTTGCAAGAAAGACTGGTATCTGTGATGCTGTCATACTCTTTTCCAATGGCTCTTTTTGACAAACACTTCAAGGTGCCCTTGAGCATAAAACAGGATTGACCGTGTGTTTTGTTGCAGAAGTCCCCTGAAGCTGAAGTGCTGAGCTGATGGACTTCTTAACAATCCACTAGCACCAATCTAAAAGTACTGAGGGCTACCATACTGGTAAAGATATCTGATTTATGTGAAGTGATTCTTAAATATATAATTAAGTAAGAGAACATAGCTTTTCATTTAACAGTTTTTTGAAAATACTGAATGGGTTAAATGATTTGGATTTAATAAGTCATATTTTCAAACTTCTCCTGCAGGAATGATGGTTTTTAATAGCCCCACAACCATTTCTGAGGGTCCATTTGTTCCTGAATATGCACTGCATACACTGCAGTACAGTAAGCAAAAACAAAAAAATTGGAGAGCTAAGTGTTTAGGTGTGAGCTTTGTATTCAAAGTTTAGGCAGGCTAGGGTCTTCTTTGTCTGGTGATTCAATGAAATTGGCAGCCTCTTGAAGTTTCAAAAGCATTGCCATCTATAAAAAAACAAAAGAGAGATTTGGGAAATTAGAACTTCTCTGGTTTGCAGATCAGTTTAAGAAATAATAGAAAGTATTGGGACACTGTCTCTATTACCAGAGGATCATTTTCCATGGAGCTGGGCGGAGTCTCTTTGTGAGGCCTCTCCTCACTTGGCTGGCAGGGGCTGCTGGAGCCGATGCTGGGAGGAGGTAGGTGGAACAATTTTGCCTGGTCCTGCTGGGCAGATGGCCAAGGCAGGGTGCCCCTCACCCACTCCACTGGGTCCTCCCATACTGCCTTTTGGCCATGGACCTGAGGAGTCACAACATAGCACCAAAGTAAAATTAGACTACAGCATTTCCTGTGAAAGGAAATACAATGGTGCTTTCAGAGAATAATCAAACTGCAAATTAATCTTGACCAAGTTTTATTTCAACAAGAATTACTTATTTTATTTGCTGTTATGGCTGCCCTAATCAATAAAAGCTGATTAAAAGTTTTCACTTTAAATGATTAAAGTGGTTCACCTTGATGCCATCCTTGGCCCCTTCTTGCAGGTATGGTATGATAGAGTGGTTCCAAAGATCAATGAACCATGATCGAAACTCATCCACTGTGACTGGACAGGATAAGAAAAAGCAAGGGCCTAAAGAGAAAAAAGCAGAAAGAAGAGTGAGAATGCAGCAACAACTATCACATCGAAACTAAACCTGTTTCTTCATTCCTAAAGTCTCAAGTGCTTCATACCTATGAGGAAATCCGATGTGCTGTGCTTCTCTAGGAAGGTGTGCAAATGATACCACAGTTTGGGAACCCAGTCTAACACCCTGATTAGATCCTCATTGGTCAAGTTCCTCTCATCTTCGGACTCCATCAACTTCCTGTGCAAGTATCGCACAAGGAAGCCATTGGCTGGCTCCACATTATTGGAGAAGGTCACCATCCTGAGACAATGAGAAGCATTGCATGTCACAACGCTAGACTTAATAGTTTGTTAACAACATATTTCATTATTTAAGAAGGTTTACCTTTAAGCTACACCAACATTAGATCCATTGTAGTTTATAGTTAATGTTAAAATGATAGAAATGAGCTATTCTTTATAAACTACTATTAATGTTAATATTTATAAAGACGTCTTTTTATTTAGGTCTTTTGGCTTTTAGAAGCCTATCATTATCCTCTTACTTATAGTACTGGGACAGCATTATTGAATGAAGCATGCAAAAATTCTTCAACCAGCATTAATAGTTTCAACAGGTTATTGCTATATATTAGTTACATAGTCATTTATAACCAACCTGAAGCTGAGATGCAGGCCATGGTTTGCGATCATCTTCACTGGCTGATTGCTTGTTCCAACAATGTAAGGGCTAAACAATATTGCACAGTTAAGGCCACATTCAGCACCTACACAACTATGGTTTATCAAGTTGTATTCATGGAGACGAAGTTTACCATTTGTGATATTTGCAGGTTAGAGCACCATTGACAAGTTCACTGATGGAAGCAGGATCATGAATATCATCCAGGATAACCACCAATGGTATTTCCGTTGCGCTTTCCCGGTCTATTTGATTCGCTAAATTAGAAAGATAAAGCTGCAGATCCTACAAAGAAAGAGACAGAGATTGCAATACAAAATGATAAAAGTAAAATCATACAGGTGCAGACTGGACAAACTCAGTCTGTGGAAGAAGAATTGTGGGCATCTTTAAGGGCACATCAGTTTCTGTTACCTTGCATGACTGGCGGTGCATGTTAAAAGTGACCACAATGCCATCTGTGACTTCGCGAGCACTGCGGTCCACCAGGTACTCAGCCAGCCGGGAAGCGAGGTACGTCTTCCCAGTGCCACTCGGCCCAGACAAGATCAGACGACGATGTTTGAGTAGAAGACTTATGTAGTGCTGCATCATGGGTTTGGGAATGAGAGTTTCAAATACCAGGCTGTCCACACACTTCTCCTTCAAACCTGAGCATAGTGAAGGAAAGAAAGAATGACTTGCATGATCAACTGCTCTAATAAACAAAGTTGATGACTATCTGCTAATTACATTGGATGTATCAGCGATGGTGATAAAGTGCAGTTTGATACATAATATTTAAATGCTTGATTGGAATTCTGTTAATATCTATACCAGAAAAAATACACATTGCAAACTGGACTGGCTTCAGTCAGAAGATGTTGTGAAAACAGATTTATATTACTTTGCATGTCCTTCATAATCAGCACAGAGCTCAAGCATTTCACTCTAAAAATAGTTCTGCATCAAGTGTAGGAAGTCTTTGCACCCCCATCCCCCAGCCTGCAGAAGTGCAATCTTCCTTAACATCTATGGGGCCCATGTGTCTGACGCTGGTCGACCAGCTGGGCCTGACTGCCCTGAGATCATGTTACTCAGAGCCCTGTCTGGGCTGCCGCTGCTTTCCCAGCTCTCCGAGCACTTGGCTCCTCGCATTCCTGCATGCGAAGGTGGAGCGGGGTCAACCACCAAACCAGAACCATGACTGTTCCCACCAATCATCACTCTGGTTTAGAATCACTGATGGGCTCAACATGTGTGCAACTCAACAAAACAAAACAGTGCCAAAGGGTAAATGCTTATACCTCAAATATATAATCCTAGTGATAACGCTAAGTGAGCCTCTGACAGCAGGTCACGTTGTTGTTTACATCTATATCTGTTTAGACATGACCTTTGACCTTCTAGATATAAATCACATAATTTTATTGTATTGATATTTGTTGAACTTTGTTATAATATACATAGGAATGCATTTGAATTCTTGCATCAAGGCCAAAAATCATTTTTGTGGGGTAAAACAAACAAACACTTTTGACCATTAAATTCTAATTAGTTCTTCCTAAAATATAATTCAGTGTTTGAATCGGACAGACATATGGATAACATGAAGTGTAGTGTTTCAGGTCACAACTGTCAAAAATAATTATTTTAATAAAATAGCGTTTGGGGAGAAATAATGACCTCATCAGCTGCTTTGACTGAGGATCAGAACAGTGCAGTTCATTGGTTTTGACCACAAATGATTGTAGAGAAGTCGCCTTAAGCTAAAAAAAAAAGCCTCATACAAAAATCATTGTGAATTAGGAAATTTGAATGTTGAATTCCAAACTTTACATTTCAATACTAATCTGAATGAATTTACTTCTAATTCTGTGAATAAAACATCTTAAATTTAGTAGCACTTTAGAAGTTATACATTTTCAGCAAACCTTTCAGTGCCACTGTGATGCTACTGGGGCCTCGTGACATGCAGCGAGAGGGTTGTGTCTCAGGAGCTTCTCCTCCCAGCACTCTCTTAATGTGGCCCATACTGTAACTGTAGATGGAATCTGTAGACAGTCCCAGACTGGAGGTGGGGTCCACCTTGGCTATATATACCTGGAAGAAAAAGTAAAGAAAAGCAGAACTGAGTAAAACTAAGTAAAGAAAACTCCTTAAAAGAAGAAAAAGAAAAATATGTACAGTATAACAAAAAAATAGTTTTAGAGCTATTCCTCCACACAACACATTTGGTTTTATTACCACCACACAAATAAAATGAATGATCTTTCAAGCCCATTACCCTCATAACAAAATCAGAAAGTTATTTTAAGTTTACAGATGCAGCTCAAAAACTAGAATTATGAAAAAGTTTGTAATTTCCATTTAGTCTATCATATATTAAATTTTCAATATTCGTTTTGATAGTTAAACCCTAAAGTTCCTTCCATAAAAAAAATAACTCAAAATATTCGAATATTTCAATTTAAATTTAAGTAAAGTACTATTAAAATGGTATGAATACTGTGTACCTGTCAGTTCAGTATATGCAATCACAATCATGCAGAAGACTACCGACTTGACAGTTGTCCAGACGATGATCACTGACATTTCCCACAAGGAGAGTAACCTAGCGAAAGTTATTGCTAAAAGGTTGACTGTCTTCAGAGGCTGTACTGAAGCATACTAATGGAAAGTTGACTGGAAGGGAAAAGGGTGATAGGAAAAGGTGTGCCACCATCAAGGATGTCCTCAGTCTTGAGAGGACTGTTAAAAAAGTCAATTCAAGAACTTGGAAGAGATTCACAAGGAGTGAAGTGAGGTTAGTTTAAGATACAGATATCTTCAGCAAAGTGCTACAACTACAGCTGGACCTGACTGTTGCTCAATGGTACAAAGTCTCATTTTTTTAGATGACTGTAAACTTTACATTTCAAAGATTTACTGTCTACTGTTTACATTTTAAAAATCAAGTCCCAAGAGACTGCAGGAAGAGTAGAGAGGTAGAGAATCCAAGAAGTTTGAAGTCCAGTTCGAAATTTCCACAGTCTATAATGATTAGGGGTGCCATATCATCTGCTGGTTTTAATGGTGGTTGCTGGTCCATGATGAGGATACTACAGATGTTGAACATTTCTCTACTATAAACTCTTTTTGATTGATCTTGGGAAAATCATAATAACTTAAGACACTGGATTTCTAATTTTAATGAGCTCTAAGCCAGAGTCATCAAAATTAAAAGAGAAATGGCTTTAAATATTTCACTTTATGTGAATGTAGAAGATATGAGTTTTTGAATTAAATACCATTTTCAGAAGCACTGGTATGTATGTTTTCTGTCTTACTTTACACCTCTGAACAGTGCTCCTGATGCTCCTCTTGATGCTAAAGTTAATGTGACAGCTGAATTGTAATTGTAAGCATGCTTCAAATTTGCATTCAGCTTTTTAACAGGTTGCAGTGAGTGAGGATTTCTCACCTTAAAAGCCTGACTGACAGCTGAGTCAAGCATCACCCAATCCATCCTGCCATTCACTCTGACAGTGCCGACAAAGAAATCCTGCTGTTTAACCTCCTGTTGACACAAAGTGAAGTTAATAGGTGATTCACAGGTGACAGAGGCAATTTAAGAGGAAAGGAAGGATTTAGAAAAAGCAAATTTACGAAAACATACATCTTTAAAGACACGTAGATCCGCAACACAAACCACGACCCTGACACGATGGTCATCTCTCTGTGAGGAAAGGCTGAGAGAATCTGCAGTGTGGATGTCTGATAAGCAGTAAATCAAAGAGTGTATAAACAGAAAAAAGAAAGCTAATGAGGCACAAGTTGAAAGTTGAAAACAAGCAGTGTTAATTTTGCATTATATTCTGTATCTACTGAACTGTAATTTTAAAAGATCATATTTTATAGACTTCAGAACAAAAGCATGGATTTTTACATCACCATGTACTAAATGACCAAGGATACAAGTAATGGATTTTGACTTCCTTGACACTGTAACTTTAATTTTTATTGTTATCAGACATTTAATCTCTGGGCATATAGATTCTAAATAATGGCATGAGGCAATTATAGGGATTCTAGAAAATCCAATGATTTCAGTGATACTGAATTACATTAAATTATTTTTTCTTCAAATAAATTCGGTTGAGAAGTTCTTTTTATCATTCAGATAAACATGCTTATTTTCACTGTTCTGTTTTTTTACCCAGTTATCTGACTCATTGTTGCATTCTTACTCCTATAAATATAAATGTCAAAGACTGAGGTGTACCTGAGCTGCTCCCCTCACTCAGCCCTCTGCTGTAGCTTTTAGGCACGTGCATGGCTACTGACTGTCGGGGTGATGAGCTTCCCAGAGCAGTGAGACCTGAGGACTGGGAAACAGAGCTGGAGGGTCCAGGAGATGGACAGGGAGACAAAGTACCTGTCTTCAGATGGTCGTTCTCAGCCTTCAGGTTTTCGATTGTCCTCTATTTAAAAATAAATAAATAAATAAAAAATTACCGATCACTGCACTGTTTACCAATTGCAAAATACAAAACACTAAAGGGTAAGATTTTTACAAAAGCAAATCAACTGGTCTAGACAAAAATCTTCATAAAATAAACATCCGGCTGGAAAATGAAATGCACTTTGAGGCCAACCTTTTTATGAAACAAACAAAAGACAAAATTATATATACCTGCATGTTGTTCATGGCCTCCTGCAGGTGCTCCAGCTGATGGGCTGAACTCAGAGCCTCGAGGCGGATGTCTGTCAGTTTACGCTCCTTCTCCCACAGTTCTGTGCGCAGGTCTGTTACAACCTTATCATCACCTGCCTCACTCCCTTCAGAGAGTCTGGTGACAATGAAATTATGGGAAAATTATCATTATGGTACTGTAGCAGGGATCAGAGGAATGACAGGAAAATAACAATTTTACAGAGTTCTGTGATATTCTGTTTTCACATCTACGAAAAGTTTGTATTTATTTATATTGTGATTCAATTCCTTATTTGATATGCATATAAATAGAACAATGATAAAGATCCTTGTATGGTACCTTGAAGATGATGCTGAGGCTGAGGATTTCATTGACACCGGAGGGTTATCTCCATCATGGTGGATTTTGGGGGAGGAAGGTGCTGAGGATTCTGGGGTGGCAATTTCTTCAATGTCAGCATATGGCCCAGTTGGCTTTGAGCCCTTCTTACTAAAAGCCTTGTTGAATGAGCTGCGTAACTGTTGGGAGAATACATGAAATTGAGATGTAATAAATAACAAGCCTGGGAAAAAAACAAGAATAAAAGCAAAAGACAGCTGAAAAGAAATTCTTAAAAAGTGATTGTGATGACCTGAGAGTTCACAGAATGTGGCTTTTTTTTAAACAAAAAGTAGGCAAATATAAATTTCCAAACAAAAAAAAGTTGGTGAAATGTTAGATTTACAGCAAACTAGTTTAATAAAACTCATTTAGTATGTTGGGGTTTTCAGTTTCTGAAAATTGTAACAGCAGTTTGAAGTCCACAAGACAATAAATGTAATAATAAACATTTAATAATAAAGCATGATTAAATCATACAGTAATTGTGTATGTTTGAAAAACAGACAAACAAAAAAAGGGATGACAGAACATTTCCCAGCATTTAGGAAGTATGATTCAAAGCACATGCAGGCTGGAGTGGAAAAGGTTTGAGTTTTATTTATTGTAGCAACATCACTCACCTCAAAGACCTAAAATAAAAAAGCGGGGCAGCATGAGGGAGAGACCAGAGTCATATTTAATACGAAAGATGGAACAGGACAGGAGGCGAATCACACACACACAAGCAGGAGCGTAAAGTAGGACAACAACTGACTTTTTCAGTCTGAACACACAAGACACAACAAGAAAAGGAAGCAAGACATGTTCATTCATTTAAAATATTCATCCATTTAACCATTGAGCTGTATTGTTATAATCACAATTAAAAGCAATTATAATTCTATAGCTCCACAATACATTTCAGATGTTATATGTAAGACAAAAAGAACAAAACGACCCAGTTTTATCAACACAGTCACTGAATGTGGTCAGTCTGATCAATTTGGAATCACTAAATTGATACCAATATTGTTACTTTCATCTCGTTTCCTGATGATTTGTATGAAACGATGAAATGTATTTGTTTTTCCTGCCATATATTCTCCTGCACAGACGCCATACAGGATGGTACATTAAGACTCCTGGTGAACTTCTTAGGCACAAATTTAGTCAGTGACCAGTGTTTCCTCACCCAGCTCTTCTTCTTCTTCTTCTTGGCCTCCTGCTCCTTGAGGCTGCCCATGCTCGAGTGGCTGGTGGTGCTGGTAAGACTGGAGAGGCTTTCTGAGGAGTTCTGGCGGTTGATCTGCAGCTCTGAATACCCAAAAGAAAATAGAAGAGTTGAACAAGGAGACAGAAGTATATGACAGTCAAAATCCTACTGTATATCATAAAGCGCAGTCTGTACCTTTGGGTGTGACATCAGGATTACTGAGGGCCCCCTGAATGATTTCCTGGGCTTCAGTATTTTTGGCCTTCAGAATGTCAATGGTGTCCTTCAATTCAGTAAGCTCAGAGTCCTTAAGGAAACATCAGTATGTAGTCATGTTAGTTAATGGGTTAGTAACTGAGCCAAAAATTTTCTGTACCGACGACTGTGGAATGCCTCTTAGCTTTCACTAAGGATGTCAGGTTGTGTTGAGTGACAACATCGAAATCCTATCATGACTCGCATCTCATTTTCATGACAACTATGCAACTTGGTCTCTTTTTCACTCACAAAACTAACCTAATGAGCAGAGTGCATAGTTTATGATTAACATCACTGGAATTTATTTGCTGATTATGTAGTAATTTCTGTCTGCTTTTAGCTGTCATGTAAGAGATTGTTTATGGCGTGTTTCTAGTGTTACCTACTTTTCTCATCAAATTTCCTCATGTAAATAAATGGAGACTGGCACAGACTTCGCTACCGTTATAGTATTCAATCATCGATGTAATATCGCCAAAATACCTTTTGATCTGAGGAGACAGACAGTGTCTGCAGGCGTGCTGTCATCAGGGCCAGACTTTGTTCAAATGCTGCGACCAGATTAGCCTATGAGAGAAAGACACAGAGTTAAAAGGCTACAAAGAGAGAGCGTGTGTCTGTGTGTGAAGGATGGTGAGGCAGCAGACAGGTATGAGTCACCAGCTGAAACAAATCGATTTGCAGCCTCACACACTCACACCACGTCAAACAAATAGCTTTCTTCATCTGCTGGGAGAGGATAGAAGGGATGGAAGAGTCAACAGCTGCGGATGATGTCAGAGATAAAAAAGGACATTATGGTAATGGTGGTAATGTTCAAGGGGATGTTGCACTATGGGACAAAGGTTGTTAACCTCAAAAGCCATGGATAACAAAATCACATTTAATTAGTTAACAGGTACATGTGAGTTTTTCTTTGTTTTACAATAAATAGTTTCTACAAGCATCTTTTTGCAGACTTATTTTTTCAGTTGTTTTAGAATATCTTCCATGTCCAAAAGTCCACTTGTTACTACCCTCTGGTATACATTTAGAGCTACCTAAAATACATTTTTTGTCTCATACTGCTTGACTCATTATTAGGTTTGCTGCTGACCTCCTCAGAAGCTTTTAAAGCTATCCTAACCACCTAAGTAAAGAGCAGTCAGCTACTGAATTGTCACTAAGAGCAGCAGACCTTCAGCAAACCTAATATGTTACACTACCGGAAAGACGTTCCAGTAAAACTCATGTCAGCCACAAAACTAAAACCTAAAAGTAAAAAATAAGTCAAAGTTAAACTATACAAAGAGACGCCTCAGAAAACGGTGCTGCAACATTTTTTTAGATCAGCTGTTTTATATTAAATAATGAATGCAACTGTTAGTCATAACTCTATTTAAAATGAAAATTAGCATTCAAATCGGAAGGCTTACGCCACACCACAACACAAGACCACCATGTCAGATGTCACAAGAGAGTGAGACAGGGTGCTCTGAAAGTAACTAACAAACCTGGCCTAGCTGCTACACACAGCATCCAGAGGTACAGGACAGTGGGAGGCAGGCAGAGGGCAGCAGTGAGTCCAGCAGTCAATGCAGCCCAGGTTGTAAAAAAGAGGGATAATGGTGTTAGGAGAGCGAAAACCTCTTACAAAAACATACGGACAGACCAACAAACACACTTAGTTCCCCATACATACATCAAAACATCCAGATTAGTCAACAGCAAAGCCTGTTAGTGCATGTGCAAAAGAAGAAGGTTGTCTACTGCATCAGAAACTGCAGATTAAAGGGTCACAAGCTGTACAATGAGATAATTAAAAGTAGCTGGGATGGGAAAGCTGGTAGAAACAAAGTTACAAGCGAGTAGCCGGGTGTAGGGTTACATGATTTTGTTTAAGAGGATACAGATTTTAATAAATGCGGGGGGAAAGTAGTTATAGAGAGAGAACACGTAATTCGGCCTAAGTGCAATTAGAGGGGTAAATCTTAGGTTCTGTGTCCAGCATGCTGTTTAAGTAGATGCCAGGGTTACAGTTAGACTACATTAAAGTTAACTAATGTAGTTTTTTTTTTTATTTTCTTAGATTAGCAAAGATTTACACACCCAGATAAGCCTCACAAAACTGCGGGTACACCTGCTTTTAGTTGGTTATGGGACAAAAGTTCAATGACTTAAATCAAGTGGAATTTACATTTGTGGTTGAGCACTTTGAGAGAATACCTGTTATGTAGCCAAGTTATTATCAGATTAACTTTGGAAAACAGACAGAAAACGAGGGTGGAGAGATACAGGAGGTAGGGGTAAGGCTTACGTACATTGGCAGAAAGCTGCACGGTTAAGTTGGCAACCTTTTCCTGGGAGGATTCCAGCTCCCGTCTCAACTTGCGGATTTGCTGTAGACAAATAGTAAATCAAGTTTGAACAGTATGACCACAGCACCATACACAATACCTCAGACATAAAACCAGAGCTGATGAAGATGTTAACACAAACTTTGATAATGATAATGCAGTAATGGAATGTGTTAAATGCATAGCTTTGTTTGGTTAAATCAAAGACTGTATAAACAATGTAACATGAAGGTTAATGCTCCACCACAGCAATCAAAATAATCCAGAAATATACTCTAAACCAACAGAAATTGGATGAAAGTCTCTTTTCAACTTATTTCTCATGCACTCAGAATTTAATGAGAACTGGCTGTCTTTATGAAATGTTAGAATGTATTGTTAAAGAACACAAAATATTAAAGATAAAACTAAATGAACTGAGTTATGAGCTTCTGAGATATAATCTCAGACTTTCTGAAGCACCAGTGACACCATCTGATGACAGAACCCATTTCAACAGGAAATGACAGACGGCGAGTACAAATGCAAAATGGGATCTGAAGATGTATGGCATGTTTGCCTTACCTCCCCTTGTATCCTCTCCTCATTCTTAAGAAAGCATGGCGAAAGTAAGAGGGATAGTGTAGAGGATTCAGTTCACGGGCAGTCATTAAAACTAGTCATCAAAACAAATATAACTCAGAATAGTTATCACTACCCCGATACCAGCTCATGAAGAGGCTTAGGAATCAGCTGGACAGTTTCATAAATGCATACAAGAACTTTCCCATGTCAAACCAGTTGATAACTTGTAGTTATGGAAGCTGGTCTCCTAATGAGAAATTCACCCTTATCCTACACAGGAAATACTTTTAAAAAACAGCCTCCTGGATGATTTGTAGACATAAAGAGGAAGTAAAATGCTACAAGATTAAAAGTAAAACATTTCCTATGCTACAAAAAAGAGACTGTAAATACTCACTGAGGAATGGTTGGATGAAGCATTAGATGCCAAAGACAGCACAGAGCCATGCACTGAAAACACAAGGTAGAGTTGTAAGCTTAATATTAAAATTTAGTTTCACAGAAGGCAGCTTTAATTTGCAAAGTAACAAAGAAATGTTGAAATAATCATAGACCAAAATGATAAATAAATGACTAAAGAATCTAGAAATTAAATATTTTTTAATATACCAAAGGCTCCCTCAAATCCTATTCAATATTCTATAACATTATAAAACATTATGTGACTTAGCTGACTTCATACAGTTAAAAATAAAGCATATCCTGTTTAAAATTCATTCAGATTTCTGTAATTAAAAAAATACTTAAATGTGTAAAAACAAACCAATTCATTAAGAAACTGAAGTTAGGGGTATTCTAATGTTGGACTCTGTATTAAAATGTCTGTAAATTATCAAAGAGTTGTAGCAGGATTAAAATGTTGCTGTTTTGTATATATTTTCACCACAGATTATGCCCTTAAACGAGTCTAACATTCTGCTTAGATTGCAGATAGACAGATTGTGTGCAGTATGAGTAGACAGCTTTGTTTCATTTGAGGTCATATTGGAAAGCTCCCCTGCAGGGAAGTGAGTCAAACAGACTCACCATCCTCTCCTGGTTCACGGAAAGACCCAGACCGCATCATGCTTTTTGGACGGTCAACCAGGGACATACTGCTGCCCAGAGGGGAGGATCCATAGAGATCGCAGGCAGAATCACTTGGGGGGCCTATGCTGTTGGACCGCGATATCCTTGGGGTGCCATTGGAAATTGGGGCAACTATCATAACAGATAGTTGGTATGGTTCAGTGCTCCACACAGATACATATATGCATACAAAACAGTCCTACACCTTGGTACAGTATAGCACTCTCATTCTGATGACTAAGTGTAAGGCAACACTGACACAACAGCAATATATATAGCCTCACTCGACCCCTGTTGCATTCATCTCCAGCATATTTTGAACCTAAACTCAAGTTTAAGTAGTTGTTCATATGGCATAATTCAATTCAGATTTTCAAAAAAATCTATTTTAAAACATCTGGCCAATACTTTTTCCACTCACAATACAGAATGCATTACTGACAACTTGTGCAAACCCTGCTCAACTGTAAAAGTTTTTCTCTCAGCACGAGCTCCATAGCCCTGTCCTCTCAAAGCTCAACAAAAAGAAGCATCGCTAATCAAAGATTAGCCCTTAATGTTAAAGCTCAAAAAGTGAGGGCTTTTAAAACTTGTTAGCCAGCCAAAATGGAACACATAAACTCACCCACATTGGTGAGAGGAATCTTATTGGATAATGGGTGCAGGGTGCGGGTAGGAGAAGGCCACTGAGGGGGACTATCACTCTCTGTCATGCTGACTATGTTGTGGGAGTGCCGTCTTCCTGGCTTACTTTCTTCACTCTCTGATAGGTTTGAGCCATAGCGTCTGCAAAAGAAAGGTTATTTACTTGAAGATGCAGCATAGTGCATGATTTTAAATAGACAATTTGACAATAAGTGTTTTGACATACTCTAAGCCTTTCTTTGGCAAGGTATTCCGATCTGTTTGCAAGCTGTAAAGAAAAGAATAAAAGCACAATTTTCAGAAAACATGGCCTGGGTCTGCCTAAACATACATCCCTTTGGCAGGAAAGTATCTGGACTATCTCCATCTCAATAAAGAGAAATTTTGTGATAGATGCAGCTCTTCATCTTCAAAATGAGACCGTGGACTCTCCTTTCCCAGAAAAAGGCACATATAATATGAGTGAAATGTGTGTCAGCTGCCCAGAAATGTATAGCCAAACCATCACACAGAAACTTCATCTTAGCTGGGCTTTATCCTTTAGTGCTCGTAGGATAAATGCAAAGTCTTGTGATTGTTCTAATGAAAAGACATGTGGACATTTTTATAACTGAATTCTTGTGCAATGAGCATTTCTTGTATTGCCAATTGAATTAGGAATCCCTGAATGATAGCAAAATGAAAAATAAAAGAGTTTTTTGGTCCAAGGTTTTGCTTCAATTTTTTGAGGGTTTGTTTTTTAAACTTTGATGCTTTTTCAAATTAGTTGCAGAAGTATTAAGCATTTTTTTCTCCTCTAAGGAGACAAAACCAATTGTCTGTTCAGAGTTACTCTTTAGCAGAAACTCTCTAACAACATACACTGATGACATTAAAACTGCATAACCCCTTTTTCCCCCCAAACATATCAGTTTTGACACAGTTTACATTACATATTTCAGACACTTGCCTGTCTGAGAGGGTGAGGGACGTCCTACTCCCAGCCCCCCAGGTTCCTGTACTCCTCTCTTCTTTATCACGGGTGTTTGTTGTAACAAACCTTGCACTTGCAGGCACACTCATCTGGAGGGGCAGGGACTCCAAGCTGCGGTGCATGCCTGACAGTTTGGGGTAGAGTATCGGCGATCCACTCAGGCTTTCACTTGCGTAAGGGCTGGGTGAATCAATATGAAGGACTGGCGCTGGGCTAGGGGTTAGGCGGGTGGCCGTGTGGGAACTAGCCAAGTCTTGGAGCTTGGAGTATGGGGGCACTTTGGGTGGAAGGTCCTGTATTGTCACACAGGAGTCAAGACTGTTTGAGTTGACCTTGTCCAGGTGAGCCAAGCTAGGAGGACGACCTAGAGACTTAGTGTTCAGCATCCTAGGATTGAAGCATGAAAGACATGATGATGAAAAAGGAAACTGAACGTTTTAAAACCTGTTAAGTATTGAATGCAGTTTATTTTAAAGCCTTTTGCCCAAATATTTTTTTTTAAAAATTCAATGTTGCCTTTTTTTTTCCTAGCTCTATTCACTCCCCCTTCCATGTGCTTGTCCTGCTAGACCTCAGTGCATATTTTGATACTACTGACCATAAACATTTTATTACAGCAATTAGAGCATGCTGTAGGTATTAAAGGTAGTGGGATGAAGTGGTTTGAATTGTATCTACCTAACAGACTCCAATTTGTTCATGTAAATAGAGAGTTTTATTCACAAACTAAGGCTAATTATGGACTTAGCATACATTTTCACTACTATGCAGACGGCACACAACTTTATCTATCCATGAACCCAGATAACACACACACCAATTAGTTAAACTGCAGGAATGTCTTAAAGACATAAATTCAGATAAAACTGAGGTTATTGTACTTGGCCCTAAAAGTCTTAGAAATCTGATTTCTAGCCAGATGCTTACTCTAGATGCCATTACCCTGGCCTCCAGTAACACTGTGAGGAATCTCTGAGTCATTTTTGACCAGGATATGTCCTTCGATGCACATATTAAACTAATATTTAGGACTGTTTTCTTCCACTTGCGTAATATCTCTAATATTAGAAACATTCTTTCACAGAGTGATGCTGAAAAACTAGTTCATGCATTTATTACTTCGAGGCTGGACTACTCCAATTAGTTATTATCAGGATGTTGAAAAAAATCCCTGTAAAGCCTTCAGCAGATCCAAAATGCTGCAGTAAGAATACTGACAGGGACTAGAAAGAGAGAGCAGATTTCTCCTGTATTGGCTTCCCTTCATTGGCTCCCTGTTAAATCCAGAATTGAATTCAAAATCCTGCTCCTCACATACAAGGTCTTGAATAATCAGCTCCCATCTTATCTTAATGACTTTGTAGTACCATATCACCCTATTAGAGCACTTCACTCTCAGAGTGCAGGCTTACTTGTTCCTAGAGTATTTAAAAGTAGAATGGGAGGCAGAGTATTCAGCCTTCGGGCCCCTCTTCTGTGGAACCAGCTTACAGTTTGGGTTGGCGCGACAGACACCCTTCTCTACTTTTAAGATTAGATTTGAAATTTTCCTTTTTGATAAAGCATATTGTTAGAGCTGGACCAGGTGACACTGAAGCCCCCCTTAGTTACCCTGCAATAGTTGTAGGCTGCTGGGGGATTCCCTTGATGCACTGAGTATTTCTTCTTCAGTCACCTTTTTCGCTCATGTGTTTATACACCTCTCTGCATTGAATTATTCGTTATTATTAATCGTTGGCTCTCTTCTACTGCATGTCTCTGTATGGTTCTGCTGGAGGTTTCTTCCTGTGAAAAGGGAGTTTCACCTTCCACTGTCACCACAGTTCTTGCTCACTGGGTGTTATATGATTGTTGGGGTTTTCTCTGTTTTCTTTGTATTTCTGTAGGGTCTTTACCTTACGGTATAAAGTGCATTGAAGCATCTGTTGTTGCGATTTGCCACTATATAAATAAAACTGAATTGAACTCAAATGAAAATAAAAACCCTCAGAACATCAATAAAATGACAAACCTTGGTATGGTGGGTGATGACAGTTCGGGGTATTTGCTGCTGCTAGTTCGTCTCAGGCCATGGAGTTTCACGGAAGACTCTCCTGTTGATTCGGATGGTGCGTGTTCTCCTTTTAGCGAAGCACAGTCGATGTCTGCAACCACAGCCTTAGCTTTGGCCCTTTCCTTTTCTTTCTCTCGGTCTGTCTGGTTTACTGGGCCAGTACTTGTTCGATTAGATATTTTAATGCTGGAGCTACTTGGTTCTTTAACCCTGGGGCCTGAAGAAGTTATGGGTACAGGTTTCAAGGACAGCAGACTAGAGTCAATTGTACTGCTGACAGGGCGAGTTGTGGGGCGCCCAATCACACTAAGTGTGCTTGATTTGGCCGGTCGGGGCAGGCTGCGGTACTGAATGCTGTTTCGGGCGTTTGGCCCCAGGAAGCTCTGCTCACTGCTGGCATCAAAACTGTTCTTTCTACCCGAGGGTATTCCTCCTCCTACAGGTTTCACAGGGATGCCAGATGACTTGGGGGTTTTTCCCACAGTAGCAGAGCCACTAGAGATGGTGGCACCCCCTGCTGTCATGACGGTTGCTGTACCAGTTGCTGTTGGTGGTCTCTTGTAGCCAAAGGAGGTTCCAGCAGTGGGTTTAACTAGACCTGAAGGGGGCTTGCGGTGCTCTCCATGATGATCTCTGCCAGCATCTGAACGGGAACGCTGCAGACCAGCAGTTCTGATGGAAATCTTGGATTTGTCCAGTGGCTTCTCACTTTTTGGTGCTAGTTAGACAGACAGAAAGAAAAAACCATATTACATTGACATTAAAAACTTAAATAACTTAAATACTTATAAAAGCAGCGAATTTGGGGGAATGTGATTAGTTCTATTTGTCTTTCAGCCACAGTGACCATAGCCTTCCTCTTAATATAATCACACCCTGTCAGAAGAAAGTATTCAAATAAATAAATGGGTGGTTATTTGTTGAGGGATATTTATGGGCTAGCAAACCACATGAGAGTAGAAATGCATGCCATTTTTGCTATTACTGATGAGATAAAACAAAACACATCTGTCTGCACTAAAAGAACCTTTATGTGTTCCTTGATGTTTAGAGTGACTCACAAAAAAACTTTTATTTAAAACGACGGAAAGTAAAGTTTTAACAATATTTTAAAGCCTATAGTAGTGAATTAACCAACTAAATTTATTTGTTCATTTAAGACAAATGGAAGTAAATCATTTTTAAGAGGGTATATTGGACAAAAAAAGAGTCAAACCCCGATATTTTTTTCTACTTACTTTTTTTTTTTTTTTTAAACTTTAGCTACTTTAGCATTAAAGTAGCTAAAGTTCAGGTTACAGTACATTCATGAAAGCAGATAGAAAAACAGCTAACTTATGGAGTCATTGTCAAATATAGTATACGGTTTAAAATACAACAGCCAAGAGAACTTTTTTCCACCTTCAACCTGCAGCCAAATTACACAGAACTGGATATAATTTTAACGACTTACTATTTTTAAAGCTAAAATTAGGTTGAGGAAATTAAAATGAAAAGCAGGCCAGCCAAATGTTCTTACTGGAACTCAAATCTAAGCTATTATTTAATCATGGCTTGTTTTGTTAGGGATTAGAGGACATTTAAAAAGCTGCTGCAGATGGAAGGCAGTGCCTCTACAGACATGTAGAGTAACACACTTTGCTTTAAGATAATAGAAGGTCTGGAACTGAAACTGCAATACTTTCTTTATTTAAGTGAAATGAATTTAAACGTATGTATGAATCATAGCCTTGCTTACATTTAGGAGTAAACTTCTGTATTTATTTTGTTACCAAACTCACATCAACTGTTCTATAAACTGCTATGGACTGCTGGACTCCACATAAAAGTGAGATAATAGACTGTATAAGTGTTAAAGCTATAAACATTTAAGAACATTGGCCACACACCAAGTTACTACATGAGACGAGCAGAAGAAATAATGGTTAGGGATAAAATGCACGCGGATGCAAGGTAAAAAAAAAAGTTTTTAAAAAGAAAATGTCACCTGCGACTTTGAGCATACTCTGGGAGGTATGGGTGATGGGGGAGGTCACACCCACAGGAGGATTTCTGCTTTTCTTGAAACTTCCTGGTTGACCCAAACTTTGAGGCTTCTTCAGTTCCCCTTTACCGCCAAAATCTTCACTAAGACTTGGAGGCTTCTTTCTCCACTTGCTTGGTGCCTCTGTCTTGAGACTTCCTGAGTCAAAGCTGGAGCTACCAAGCTTATGGGTGCTTTTGCCATCCTCACTGTACCAAGAAAGTCCACTTTCCACCAGAGAGCGCTTCTCTGCATCAGTGCGGAGCTGTAGAGAGAGGAAGGACACAATGTGGGCAACCATCAGACATGGTTTGTGTTATCTATGGAATTGACTGTTCTCTGTAATCTTTATCCCATCTGAGCTGCATTCCAGTGGGAAGGAGGGAGAGATAAACTGATACGTCCCAAGGGGATTAAAAAAACCCAAAAAAAACCCCACAGAGACAAAAGAAAGAACAAAAACATGTCCAAGAATTTAACACTTTAAGAGTTAGATCAACCCATTAAACAGTAAAACAGAAAATATTACAGCAGAGGACAGCTAGAGCATTATTTTTGTAATTTAGGGCTATATAGTAGATAAAAAACTGCTACACAACAATAGAAAAATCATGTGGTGCACCGAGGAGGTAGCACGGAGGGCAAAATTGGGCATGCTGTTTTTTGGCACCATATTATCCTGTTATAGAGCGACAGATGGCACATTGAGTAGCTCTAGTGTTTATTTCTTCCCAGAGACCAATTTCTAAGTAAGTAAAAGCACAACATTTACCTATGAAAAAGGTAGAATGTGCGGCCACTTAACCAAATCAAATTTGATGCTCATTTCTTTTCAAATTTAACAGAACATCCTTTAGGAATGGAATACTTACATGGCACCTAATAGGTTTTTCTTCACAAACATCAATAAAAGAGCTGATAAAAATTTCATAACTTAATATTTTGCATTCATTTTGCACAGTGTTATATGGAGAGACAACTATCTCCCAGGCCTTCAGATATAAAGGCAAGTATACAAGTAAATAAGCAGTCCTGGACTAACTACAGGTTGCTCTTTGGCAGGGCATAGGATCAACACAGCCACCTTCCTTTGGGAAAAGCATTATAAGTAAAGCCTTGGGAAGCAGTAAGGTGGAAGTGCAGTAATAGTGGAAGAACTGGAATTCCTTCGATGGTGACAGTCACAATTACACTAGGTACTCAAATTCTGGTTCTTCAGCCAGGGTCACCTAATTCAGCTAGTGAACTTCTGCTGTGTGATAGATGCAGGGAATCCTTAACTAGACGCATTTGAAAACTCTAGCAACTCTGCAAGATGATGATGATGATGATGATTGCACAGTGAAGCCCCAAAATATTCATGAGTGGAGGAACGCTCCCGCCACATGCATTTTTTCTGACTAGCAGGAGATTGCTGTGTGTACCGTGACAAGGTAAGCTCTGTAGTGGCTTTTGTGGCCTCTGCCAAAGCAAAGGATTGCCTTTAACACACAACAAACTAAATCACATGGTGTGGCTTTGGAAATGGTTTCAGTAAAGAACTAAGCTGCAATCTTTAGCAATCTTTTGCTACAAACAAAATAAGCTGTGGGAAAGAACACATGCCACATGCTGTATTACAGGCCGGTACAGTATTTCACTAACCATAACAGAGGAGTTGCGCCTTGATCCCAAGGGTGTGTTTGGGAGGGAGTTGAGAGACGAGCTGGCGTTGAATTCCTCTGAACTGAGATTCTCCGAGCCATCGCCATCACCATCGCTGAGTCCACTGCTAATGGAGCTGCTCTCGTCCCAACTGAAACCAGACAGAGTAACCACTTAGCAAAAATGTGCCACTGAAAGTGTGAATGTAAAGCACGAAAAGCTGCAGAACTCTGTGTTTGAGGAGAAGATAAGTCTTGCAGCAACATTAATTTGTCCATCTGCCTTCAGCAGGCTGTCTCTGGAGGAGGCCACATGCTTAAACAAACAGGTAATTCCAACTTGGCTATTTTGCTTTGACTTAACAAACACATCAGAGCTCAAGACCATATGGTGAACAACTCGTCAGGCGTATATCCAGAAGATTTCTTTAATTTATGGTATACATACATCAACACTGTCTTTAGGAACTTCAAAAATAAGATTTAAAGCCATACCTACATTTTAAGTCCCATATATTTTAATAAAAGTGCAAATTACAATTTATTCATTTTAACAAATCCAGAATCTGTGACAGTTCAAATTTATCAAACGAGCTGTGTATCATAACACTGTGTTTTACCACAAAGTGCCAAATTATAACACGAGACGTCATCAAATAGTTGCTTCCCTGGGTTTCTTGACTTCATAAAATTTATGCCCGTTTGAAACTTTCATCAATCCACAAACCCCACCATTCACAATCTTCACAGCAGCTAATAAACCTTTTTAAACACACTGCACCACAACTCATGTGGGGAAACTCCAGTCTAGCAATCATAATAAAATGGTCAGCTTGGGCAGTAAATTTTAAGTCAGAAAAATGTAAGCTTTACCATATTTTAATAAATCGTAATGACAGCACAGCTAGGACAGCACTCTTTGTAGTTTTTCAGCACAGCTTCAAGACATGCTGATGAATCGTGGTAAATAAAAAGTACTGCGACTGACAGTTCAGTGTTTAGAAAACAGTCTGTTATGCTCAAAAGAAGCAGGATGACAGAAATCAGAGTGACAGGCTCCTGAACCTTGCATGACCCTTCCCAACAGCCTTCAATGAAGTCCTGTCTCGCCTTGAAACAGATGCTGCCACATTGGCCTTTCTCCTGAGGCCAGAAGGGACGGGCAGTCCCTGCACACCCCAGAGAAACTGGTCTCTGGGTGCATTCATATTTGAAAATACAGTTCAAGAAAAAGCTTCTCAGTCAACCAAAACATCACAGGATAAAACAGTTCAATCTGAGTGGGAAGTTTAAAAGAAGTGCTTTAGAAGTGCAATGATGCCATGGTGAACTTAAAAATGGTATCTCCAGAGAGCTAAATGCAAGTCCAGCTCATATTTGGTATAATTATGTTCCCCATCATTACTACTGGCAGCCACAGGTGGTAATCAAATTTGTGTTGGCGCTCAAAAATGTTGCACAGTGGAAAAGGTAAATTAATATGCCTCTTAAAAGCAGAGTAACTGTTTGAGCTGAATCAGTTCTTTTCCCTTTCTTTGGTTTCCCTACTGAGCTCAAAATGCTCTTTGTGGGTCTGCAGTCTGCAATTAGCAAAGCCATGGAACATGGAATTGCACAGGAAAATAGAGGGAGACAAAAATGGCTTATACACACATTCAGAATGGATTTAAACACATGGCATGAGTTGAGTTATAGATACAGCTGTAAAACAGGGAAGAAGCTTTTCTTGACACTGTGTGCTGGTTTTAAGGCTTTTTGATGTATAAAAGCAGCGTTTTAGTAAAGGGATTTGTGGCCACAGATATGTGACCTCTTGACAACAAGAGTGTAACATAAAATAAATGTTGGATTTTAGAAAAAGTTCTTACATACCAGTAAGAATAACAGTGAGAAAAGTTTCATGATTTACATTAGGCACAGATGTTAGTGGTATGTTTGAACAATACCTCCTCTGTCAGGGGCGACAGAGGGGCCATGAATAACCCCACAGGGATGTCAGCCTAGGAAGAGGCAGGAGGGCCTGTGGGCTGTTGATATTACAAGCCAAGCTGTCTGCTCTCGGAGGTAAAATCCAGACAGGGAGAGGGTGGGAGTAGGCTAGGGTAGTGCATACTTCATACATTGGGTGGCAATTAACATTTTGTTTTCTCTGGCACAACTCCTACGCATATCTGATTTGAGCCCATTTGTGATTTGTGAGCTGCAATAGTGTGAATATTTCTTCTGTTTTAATAAGATTGAGAGGTGGTTGGTGGGGTAGAGCACGATGTGGACATTAGTCACTGTCTGGAGCTGGAAGTAGATTTAACAATCTATGGTGGATTGGATGAACAAGAAAAACAAAAAATACATCAATTTTTTTTAGGATTAAAAAGCTATCCAGGCTTCTCAGGGACCGTCCTTTGATAATATTGTAAATATCATATCAGATTAAATAGCACATGGGAGGGAGGAAGCATCTTGTAGGTCAATTTGGCAACGTGTCTGCAAAGTTTCGGCTTAAAAAAAGAATAATGATGTGGCTCCTGGGAGCGCATGACTGTAGCTGAATGAGTGGTGAAGACATCCTTCATTATACAGATAGCTGTGGTAGCAGCGCTCCCGTGTCCTCCAAGAATAAAACTGTGTTTTTCCACAGATGCTATAACTTCAACTGCAAAAACAATGTCTGATCGTGACATTTAACTTCATGGCGCAAAATGTTACAGGTGAACGGCAAAAGTCCAAATAATTAAAAATAATATATTAATTAGATTTTATCGATTACACTGTTATGCTATTACACCGATGCTCAAAAATAAAGTCATATTTAGAAGAATTTAAATCCATTGAGAGCTTCATTTCTTCGCGAAGAAACAGAATATTAGCGTCGGGGGCAAATAAAGGCAGATAATAAGCCAACGGCGAATAAATATTAATGATACATTACCTTGGAGTTAAAAGGAAAGTCCTCCTTGCTCGTGTCGCCGGCTGCAGCGGTGGCACTTTACCGACCAAAACACGCCCGCTCATTTGTGACTTGTACGGCTTTAGACTGAGCGCAGAGTCACTCCGCAAGCAAAGACCCCTGTTCCCTCATTCAGCGAGAGGAAAAGTAGTGTGTCTCTCAGCATTCAAGCAACACCCCCTCCCATAAAAGCAAAAAAAAGAAAACGAACGAGGAGATCATAGAGACCCCGATAGCTGCTCAGTCCTCAGCGAGACAACGACCAATTGCCGTGGAGCGGAGTGGTAGTCATGGCAACTCCAATTACTCCCTATGGTGTAATCCTTTACTTCGCCCCATGTAATCCGAATACTTTGATTTATGTTTCTGCTTCACCTGAAGCGCTAATTACCATAAAAAAAGATTATCCCAATGAGTCTAAGTACTGTTATCATTTTTTTCTTCTAAAATATGAATTTTAGTTTTCATGTGTATAATAAAGAACATCTTAAAAGTCAGGTACGCATAGCAAAACCTGAGAGGGTTTATAGAAGATGGAAACAGCTGCAAGGTCTGAAGAGTGGAGCCCAGTTCACGATTGCTTTGAACTTTAATGGCCAGCAGGGGCGACGCTTCTGTTTGTAAAAAAATCCGATTTTACAAGTCTGTGGGAAAACCACCACCAATGTCCATTGACCTATGGCCTCTCTAAACCCTTCACTGATGTGCAGATGAGTTTATGTTAGTTTCAAACATAATGAATATATCAATATGTTCATTTTGTTAGTTAGGATCCCCATTAGAGTCATAAAGGCAGATAATGCAGGCTATACTTAAGCAGAGCCTACTGTGAGCATTTTTGTTTGGTTGGTTGTTTGGTTTTGTTTTTTAATAAACACTGGATGGATGCACGGGTTCTTTTTAAAAACAGTTTCCACTTTGTTGTATCATTATCAGAAGCAGCGAATGTGTTAATAATACCAATAATAATAATAGCAATATTGATTTTCACCAATTGTACAACAAATACCAGACTCAAAACATTTCTTGTCTGTTGCATAAGCCAAAAAAGTATTTTTTTTAAATAAATACATTAAATATGCACGAATCCCAACTGCATAGAGTAATAAATGATTCACCTTTTTTGCATTTCATTGTGCCCCCCCCCCTCTTCCAAATGCAGTAAAATGAACAGACACCAACTATAATTGGCAGTAAGGCTGAGAGCAGACTTTCTTAATCCTCTGATGGATGCCATGAACCTTACCCATTATGGCAGCATAAACAATATCGCGTAGCATTAATACTAATGAGCACATATTATAGATACACTGCCACTAGGCCTACAACAAGAAAGGAGATTTGAGAGGTTGCTTTTAGCAACATGGGGTGCTGTAAATAGTGCAAGCTCCTTGTATAATTTTGATTGATTGCGTCCAAACAATTGGTTTAATTTACAAGGACGTGTTCCAATGGAAATTTTCCACTTTAGTCATGAGATCAGGGTGATCTTGATGTATATTAAGTAGAGATGGACCGATCCGATATTACGTATCGGTATCGGTCCGATACTGACCTAAATTACTGGATCGGATATCGGAGAAAAATAAAAAATGTAATCCGATCCATTAAATATCACGAAAGTACCTCACAAAAACACACCGTAACTCACCTCAGAACGTTAGCACATCGGAGCAGTATGCATCACGTGATAGAGCGGCTGTGGCATGCAGGACCTGTCAGTGGTCTGGATAGCATGTGGAGCTTCGCTAGCAACCCGGCATTTCATCTCCGACAAAGTTATCCCCGAGAGAAGTAAAGCAAGTGTGTAAGTCCATCTCTGAATTTAAAGCATTCCTGCGTTAAGCTTAACAAACGATATATGGAGCGACTGCCTCTCCTGCTGCTACTTCAATCATGAAACTGCTTAATGATCAGCTGATCGGCTTTTCTGTCGCGAGTCCGTGTCTCTTGTTTGCTTTTGGCCCACTTTGCACCAGAAAGAGGAAACCAGCGGCTGAACAACAGCAGCACGTTTAAGCTTGATCAGCTGTTGTTAGAATTTATTTAATATTACTTTCTACTCGAGGATCTTTTTCTACGTAGCTGACGGCTGGTAACTGTGCAGGGGCGGATCTAGCAAAGTTTAGCCAGGGGGCCGATAGGGCATTAACAGGGAAAAGGGGGCACAAAGACATACTTTTCTTTCTTATTCTCATTTAAAAT